CGTACTGTAGAAGTGAACACGAGTTCGGCGAATGTAGGGCAAGACAATTATATAGCGGATTACATTTCTCGAGCGCGCTGTGCCACTGCGTTGCATCCGTGCAGCGTCGCCTCGCCGTGCTGCATCAGCACCGTGGGACGTCCACAGGCCCGGGATGATGGCTGAAAATAACGTTTCAGACAATCGTCATTTATGTCCGTCATGCGGGTTGCTTGACCACACTTCACACTGAGCAGTGCTTCTTGTTGTTGAAGACAGGCGGAGCCCATGGACCGGTTTCAGATTGAACTCGCTCACTGCTGCTGTTAGCCGTGGTGTGGACTCTAAACAAAAACAAAGAGCACCCCCCCACACACACCACCACACCCTCCGTTTCGACTTTAACAGACTGCCCCGGGGCAAGTGATGTTAGTGAGCACCGATGCAGGGCTCTGTACACGCACAGCCACACAAACCCCTCGAGAAAATAACCTCCTCCTGGACTCAAACCTTGCATTTTGGTGGTGGTGATCACGTCCATTTGGCGGTAGCCAAGCCACTGATAAAGATTCCACATCGCTACGACTTGTCCCTAATGACAGCGATGGCCTTTTGGGTTACGTTGATCTCGAGTTCGATTCCCGACTATGTCTATCGTCAGCGGTGAGTGATGTCTGAACCCGCCTAATACGGAAATGCGCACAACCTTAAGAAAGATTCGCACGCGCAACTCACGTTCTTACCGAGAACTGAAGGCGACCGTGACTCGCATGGAGACGAGCACGTTCAGGACGATCGCTCCACGTCTCTGCCTGCGCTCCCTCGCTTTCGCATTTGCAGCCATCTACCCCGAATATCGAGCGTACAGTTGTATTTATTCAATATGGCTCTATAATTAAAATAGACCTCCGTGTGGAGCTGTGACGCAGTGGCTTCCGGCCCTGTGACATTGAGCCGGCTACTTTAAGTTCGATTCTCGCCTGGGTGCTGCTCTGCATGCAGCAAACCGCACTGACCAGCGTAGCAAGTGAATGCGTGGTCAAACAACTGCCATGAAGTCTGCAGCCAGCAGTGCCGTGGCACAGGGACGCTGGTTAAAACCCTGAGTATCATATATACTAACGTGCTTTGTTTACCTTTCCTAAAGTTTGCAATCCTATCGTGTTTTTTTTTGCACTGGCCATTTCCACAAATGTCCAGTATTTCACAGAGGTCCGTCTGGAGCGCGTCCCATCTACACAACAAGGAGGGACCCTCAGTTTAAATCACGCAAATGAAGATGCTACGATCTGCTACAGACACGCAGTGTATTATGCACACATACGTACGTGTAGATACATGCAGATACGGACGCATCCACACGTGCCCGTGTGTGTATCTGCGTCTATGAGCCTGTACGTGTGTGTGTCCGCACACGGGTGAGTTTGCGTACGTGAATGTGAAGGTGTATGTATGAATGTGAATGTGAAGGTGTATGTATGAATGTGAATGTGGGGAGCGCTAGTGTAGCGCATTTAGCGACGAACCTGGCGACGATTATCCAAACCGGTCCTGGGCCTCTCCTGGGTCGACTCAGCCTCAAATGAGTACCTGGTGCGGCGTGTAAACATCGCTACGAGGGAGACAAAGGCGGCCGGGCGTGGTGCTGGCCACCCACCCCCTCGTGTGCCACCGTGCCGGCCTTCATTTGCTCGCTAACAGCACTTGCCCCAACAGTCTGCTAAGACTGTACGGGGGATCTTTGTATGTGTTTGTTTACGTGCATATCTGAACTCGGCCGTAGTTCATAGATATTTCATTCATACGGTTACGTGTGAAACGTGTATATGCGAGACTGCCGGTGTGAATGCGCGTTTCGCGTATGCGTGTGTTTATAGATAAACCGGTCATCGCTTTCGGAACCCATTATCGGTTACAAACTCATAAAACCGATAATTATATAATAGAATCCATTGGAAATTTTCATATGAACCAAGGCACCCAATCGATTGGCACGTGCGAACGTTCAACCCGCACGGTGCGCTCAGTCACCGCATGGTACGTTCTCAAACAGGGTTGGCCAACGAAAATAAACAAGGTGAGACATTTTTTGGAATTCGTAAAAAAAAAACCCTCAATATTTCAAGAGCCGCAATGCACGTGGTGGATACGAGACGGCGGTCCTTAATAAATAACGTCCTGAAGCAGCCACTGAAAGGGCCGCAAGTTGTCGACATCCACAGGGCTGTACATTTATTTGCATCGTTCGACATCTCAAAATCAGCATCATCATCATCAACAGCGAGGCTGAATCCCACCGATGGATTTAGGCCTCCACAATAAGCCGTCGCCCTCCCTCGCGACCCTGCGATGTCACAACTCACACGCACACGAGCCGATTTCACGACTCCATCCCGTCGGTGGAAGGACTCGACGTGTGCGTTCCACTCCTTTGGCTGTCATGCCGTCGTTACTCTCGACGACCGGTCATCATCATCATCATCGGTGCAGAGCCCGCTTACTTTCATTGCAGAGTTTTAATTGTGCCATTAGGCTGCTCTGTGTTCTCCGATCCGAGCGTTCATCTCGCCATGCTCCGTTGCATCCTTCCCGGTTTTTGTTTCTTTTTCTCTATTAATGTTCGCTTCTAATCCACGTGCCATATAGCGGGCAATTCATGTGGGTATAATATAGACCGCGTG